GGGGCACCTGGCAGGGCCCTGACAGGAGCCAGCCCAGGACTCCTTAGGACGCTGTGCACAGATCTGCTAATGGCTGTCATGGCCAGAGTTATGGTTGCTAATGCAAGTCCATCCCAAGTGGGAACAGGGTGGCTTGACCAGCTCCAAGCACTAATGTAAATCCATTCCATGTAGAAACAGAAGTTGGGTTTACCCCAGTCATCTGCTCCGTTATTTGCCATGATCCCTATCACCTGCATGTGTTTTCTTCCACAACTGCCTGTTTGTTACTAAGACGACATGCAGAAACAGCCTTCTTGGGGAAGATGTACTGTTTGTATGTGTGCAAACTAGTTGTTTTGAAATGTTGCAGGCTCAGCAAAATTTCTCCCTGAATGTCAGCTCCTCGCAATGCTTCCCAGCACAGACAAGGCTTTAGATGCTTTTGTCAGTGTCAGCACTGTCTCCAAGATTGCCCTTTTTAGTTAGTTTTGACAGTGAACAAAACCAACATGCATGAAAGTATCGCCAGCATGGAAGACCAGTGCCATACGAGGTGGCAGGGAACAGCTACTGCAGTTTTGACACGTGCTGCCTTTCTCACCGTTGACAGTAGATGAAGGATGACCAGGGACAGGCTGCCATCCCACTGCATATGAGCCAAACGTGGTTTTTCATTTCCCTGACATGCTGGTTAACAGAAGTTTTGTTCATTAACAAAAAAAAAAATAAAAGCAGATCTCTGATATCTACTTGCATGTGTAGGCTGACTTGAAATGATAAGTAGTGAGAATTAAACAAAGTAACTCTAGCCCTTGAGATACCTAGCCTGAGTTAATGATAGCTGATTTTCTTTGTACTCCAGTACTATGATCACAGTCCCTCCTCCAGATAAAAGCAACAGAGCTTCGTGAGAAAAGACAACTCACCTTTCTTGAGCTGCTAGTAATTTTAGCATTAAGTTGAGGAGATAATTTTCTGGTTCAGATGAAAGCCAGAGAGTTGAACAAAGATTTCTTACCGTTAAGGACAATGCCATGCAAACAAAAGTGAACTTCTTGATATGTGTCGCTGTGACAGTGCTGTTGGTGTTCACCAATTTATTGCTGGGGTTATTCTAGAGAAAGAGAAAGAGATAACGAGCATTAGCTTGGCTCCAGACTACTGGGAGGCTAATGGTACCAGGGTCATGTGTTGGACCTGACTGTCTGTGCTCATGCATGTCTGCCTTTGCTTGTTTGCTTTTTAACCTAGAGCTTTCCGAGTACCACCACAGAATATTTTCCGCTTAAACTGACAGCAACTGCTCCTGTGGTCACTGAGGGCTGAGTAATCTCCTTAATCTTCTAAGAAATAAGTCCTATTGAAGAAATTGAAAAAAAAAAAAATGAAAAAGGGTGGTAGTTCTTTATAAGGAAACTCCACATGACTTTTTTTTTTTTTTACCTTAAAGTTTGTAGCATGTTTTCACAGGAAAAATAGAATTTCATTCCCTTTTACCACAGAGTGGTACCAAATCCATACACCAATGCAAGCACCCTTACTGATCCAATTAGACAAGTAGGTAATATAAACAAAGCTCCTGGAACAGCTGGCTCCATTAATGCAGTTTAATGAACAGAACATAATTAGGGCTATTAGATGTTACACTCAAACATGGGCTCCGCACTCACATGGCAGTGAAGTTTTATTTAAAATAACAAGAAAAGCTCTCTTCCAAATGTCTAATATAACAAATGAAGCTGAAGATTTAAAGTTGCCCTTGGGGAACACAAAAACAAACTAAATGCTCCATGAAAGCAGAGGATGCCTATCAAAAGCAGGAGACCATTAGGAGCCCTGTAGCAATAGGCTGTTGGGTCATCTATTGCATTTACCCTGGAGCTGTTTGAAATACCCAAGAATGTGCCCCACACTGTCAGCCTCCTTTACTGAAGTCACTCGTAAAAGAAAAAGAAACTTATGCAAACATATCTTGGGAGTGGACAAACCGAACGTGAGCTCTGTGAAGGGCACATAATTTCACACACATTCAAGTAGTTGACAGAATTTTGCAATTTAAAACTTTTGTGGTGATCAGCACAGCAATGGCACCTGGACCCCACGCTCCTGCCTAAATGTCTGCTTGGAAGTTTGGGTGAAGGAAGATGCACGTAGGCAACCCAACCCTAAAGCAGGAAGCTACTCCCACATTTGCCCTTTTGGGAAACAGGTTATGAAAACTCTGTAAACATTTTTTTCATGCATCTATTCTTATTTCTTGTGTTTCTGAAGAAATACTTCGTTACTGTTAGCTTTTCATATACGTGAGGATAGGCCTTCCCTACATTGCTCACCACTGTTTAAATGAACTCTGCTGCATGGCTCAACTTTCTAACAAGGCTAAAATAACAGAGGAAGGAAAGCACACCCAAATCCAGCCACCCAAAAGGTCTGCGAAGAAAAAGGACTCTCGTTCGTTCCTACCTCACTGCTGCTAACTCTGCCCTTGCTCTACCTCTTGACCATGTACTCTATTCCTATCTCTTGCACACTATTTAGTTCTTGGATCAAAACACTAGGCAGATTATGGAGCAAAAAGAGTATCCACTCTCATCTATTAGTCAGATAAACAGCGTTCCCACGGCCTCTCACAGGCGATGTTGTAGCTCCGAATAAGACTGCACAGTCCACTACGAGTAATGGCATTATCACCATATAAAACAGCAAACAGAGCACAGAACTACGATATACCTTTTTTTTTTTTTTTCCCAGAAAATCAGTAGTAACCCTTAACCTGAGTGTAACTGCTAGGCCATAAGGTTGCTCTGGACAGAATCTCATAAAAGACTGAAGCAGGACCCTGCATCTCTCTTACAGATGTGACAGAGATAACGATTTCCCTGTGAAGACAAGAATCTGACTCTCAAGTAGAGACACTAAGCAGGGGCATACTATCTGGACCCCAAATCCCATCAGTCACTTAAGGCAATGCAGTGTGCTTCTGATGGCCACCAGCACTGCCAGCTTTCTGAGTAACTCACAAAAAATAAAATAAAATAAATGGGAGTTTGCATGCATGCAAACTGCTTTGCATCTGAAAATCAGATGGAGGTTTTATAGAGTCCAGAAATAAAAAGTGCTTCTATCTGGATTCTTCTGAGCAAGCCTTAGCTTAAGAAAACAAAGCTTTTGAGGGGCACAGTGACATGCAAATGATGTGTGACTTGAGGGTAAAGCAATTCTCACAACAACCAAAAAAACCCCACTGTAGGTTTCTGGTTTGGTATTTATTACCTGAAAGGTACAGTGGAGACATTTACACACATGGTTGCCAGGATGAGATACCCCTTATACTGCTGCTACCTCACTTCGCATGTTTTATGCCAAACTGCTCTTAAAAAACGCAACTAAAATCCCCATTATATACTTTTTCAACAATTAGATAAACTGTACCTACCTGTTCCTTACCCTAGCTTTTTCTTCCTCACATTTGTTTCACAAGAGCTCTATGACACACCTTTTAACTGAAATAAACAGACAATATCATGCTCTAATCCTGTCACCGCTAAAGTTGTCAGCATGTCTTCCACCAACTAAATGAGACCTGAATTTAGGAGTCTTAATTGCTGTTAATTTTGCTTGGCAATAGTGCATTTGATTGTGGCTCATAACAGATGAGGTTAGCAGGCCCTGCGTTTCCTGTCCCAAACCATTTTTATCTTGCAGTTTATTGGTTTTGCATCTGCAGTTCCTTTCAGCAGCACGACCTCTGAAAAAGCCTGCATGCTGTATTTTATCTAACAGGGCAATTTAGCTGCACACAGACAGGTTAGGAAGTTATGAGTGATTTGACTTTAGTTTGGTTTTAATTTCTCCTTGGAAATACAGTGGATCATATCAAACAAGGCTTGCTTCAGTTAAGTACATCCCAGAGCAAGCAAACATTTTTTCACCGGTATTTGGAACCAGAAAGTTCAGTTACTAATTGGTAAAAAAAGGGAAGGACAGGATCTGGCATTCGAATTAAGAGTGTCACAGGACATGATGTGTTCTTCGCACAACATTTGGGCTAGCGAGTACCAGTTTAAAACACAGGAAGAAGAGAGTCAAAACAAAATTAATTTTGATTATATATTTACTCCGTGCTCAGTTCCAGGAGCAGTCCTTGCATTCTATTGTAATTACATGATTTACCAACAGAAATCTTCATAGTCTTGGTCACCTAAGTCAGTACTACCAAAATAACGTACGTCATCTATGTTACTGTCAGTCTTTGAAACAACCTTTGCTAAATATTAACATATGCACACAAACCCAAACTCATTTGGGAGATACCACAGAATCTGCAGAGACATGAGCTTGCTCACTCACTGAGGACTTTGTGAGAAATCATTTCATTAGCTAAGTAGCTATATTATAGTGAGTAAGTGAGGATTTTTTTAATCCTTAAAGATACAGCACCTATCTATTCAAAAAGTAGCTTAATACCTTGTAACATAGAGCTAAGGTTAAAATCACGTATCGGACAATAGCTTGAAGCAACCAAAACCCAATTCATTTTAACTAGGCTTTTAAGAAAACCTTATCAGTGAGACAAAGAACATTTTAACTAGTATTTTAAGAAAACCTTATCAGTGACACAAGGAACATCTTTTGATAGGCATCAAAAACAAAGGTAAAGAGAAGGAAGACAATAGATGGCCATTAATACAGCACTATTTAATCTTTGGTTGGTTTCTTTTTTAAAGAATCCGTTACACTTGATTATGGAACCATGAACTAACTTTCTTCATATTTGTTTGGCAGAAATTCCTCTGATGTGACTGAAACTACACCTAAATTAAAATATTGTAACAAAAAGAGGAGGATCATGCATGTGAAACCACGCCTAACACGGGCACTCACCTTGTCAAAAGCAGGGTATACTGCTCTAATCTCAGTCAGCCAGCCATACGGCATGTGTCCCACAGGATATGTAGCTGTCAGAATTGCCACTGCCTATGAAGAGAGACAGGGAAACACGAACTTCAAATCTTTGAACAGAACAGAACTAACATAGGGTGCCACTGCCCACCAATATCACCACATTGACTTTTGACACAGTGAGAAACCAGGCAGGCAACTGGAAGCTCTTTGTTTCAGAAAGACCATTACAGCGGCCATCATTTGGCCTGGTGTTTTAAGCTTACAAAACCTTTCGTGCCATGAAGCTAGGCTACGCAGCTTTGTCATTTCACCATCACTCAGATACTTTGCGATAACAGTTAACTTGACCTGGTGCCTGCCCCTCAGGCAGGCGAATAACTCTCTCCCACATTGCTCCTGAGTTATTGTACCTACAGATACCTGAGTAGCAGAATGCCTTACAGCTCATGGTAGCTTTGGATCATGTTTCATAATTTTAATTCATATACCTTTTACTTAGTTATTCATAATTAAAGCAGCATTAAGACAGATAGACTACAAAACAGCAGACCTCAGTGGCTGACTGACTTTGGACATCTAACTGACCTCTCTGGGGCAGAAGGCACTTCTGAGAAAAAAAAGCAACCCCTCCCCACCTTGATGTTCATCAACAAAAACCAGATAAAAGTAACTCTAGATGACCATTTTTATCATGAGAAACAACTCGCTGCCTGCAATTTAAAACTAGGCCCTTTTGCACTTCCTTGTGAAAGTGCACAGTCCAAGTACAGTCCAAGAGGTACATCAGAGACATATACCCCCCTACATATTAACGTATGAAAGATGTTGCTGATGTTTCTAATTTCTGAAGAAGTCCAAATACATGTACTGCATGTCTTTCATGTAGCGAGGGTGTTCATGGAGCTCTTCCTGCAGCTGCTTGGCAATCCACTGTCACCCCAAGTTTTCTAGTCCTCAGAGCCAAAGTACGCATCTGTATCAATAACTGCCTGGCTCTCTTAATTCCGGAAATTGAAGTGTTCGACTGCCTTTTGCTTGCAGGTTCAGATCTTTTACAATCTGCCTAAATTCAGATTCATCTCACATCTGGCAATTGTAGCATTAAGAAAAACCTTTTTTAACTACTGCTGTCTCTGTTCCACTCCTAAAATTTCTTGGTTATCTGAGCCCATTTTCCCGTTATAAACGTAACTGCTTTCCTTGTTTGGTTAAAAGATCTATACAAATACAGGACCATGTAGCAAGCTAATTTGTTCCCTGTGCTGTTTAAAAACACCAGGGAAAGTAGTGATATTCACAGAGAAGAAGAGAAGGGGATAGATTCTTTCCTGCTAATAATAATGTTTAATGTTCTTTGAAAAGGAAGTTGGTTCAAAGAAAACAAACTGGAATTCTAAGACAGCATCCTTTTTAATTGCACTCCCCCCCTCATTATTGTATTTTCAGCAGAACTTCCATCTGCATGAAACCTAACTAGGTTAAATCAAATAAGGAAATGTCTATGTTTAGCCTGTACCCAGGGCTAAACAGTAACAGCTGCTCTATCACCCGATGAACCCCCAACAGCCAGGGAGGGGAATCAGGGAAAAAAAAGAGAGCAGACTCACAGATAGAAGTACAACAAATTTAACAAAAACACCACCAACACCACCAGAGATCTACTTAGCCAAAAGAATATGCTCTTGTCACAGTCTACTGGAGAGCAGTCCTCAGCAGAAGCCAGAGGAGGAACAGAAAAGACCCCAGTATAAACCCCACATGAGCTCCCCTTCCTCAGCAAACCTTCCCCCTTTATAACGCCCAGGCCATGATGGGACGGGCTACACCTGTACCTCATTCAAGTCAGCTGCCCTGGCTGACTTGAAACTGCCTAGCACGGCTGGCCTATGACTCTACCCCAGCCAAACCAGGACAGGAATATAAAAGATATTTTGCTTATTTTCATGAAGTCCAAAAAGACTGCAAAGACACAGTAACTGTAAAAAAAAAAAAAAAAAAAAAAAAAAAAAAAGTACTTCACTACCACATTTTGTATGCTAGATTCCACTTGGATTAAAATATTGAAGTTTTTAACAGTGATTTTTCTTCCAACATTTTTCTTCAATTGGTGGGATCCCAAAACATGTGCATGAAACCCTTCCTAAACGTCTAGAACCTTGTATTTGACAAGTGAAAAAGTCCCCCATCAAAGCCAACACAAAAAAACCCCATCCCAATCACTATAACCATGCTGGCAGTCCAAATGGAAGCAGTGGGAGTTGGCCAATGCAAGTGGACTTGCTGTCCTCATGAATGTGCTACAGCCTAGTCCTTCACAGGGATATCCTGTCCACACTGATATTATTGAACAGGGGACCTATAAAACTCCTGTGTACACTGATGGTCCAGAACTGATGTTATCTGTGTTGCCAGCACCTCTCTTTTCAGAGGCAATTATTTCAGAAATCAGAGAAAGCTGAGATGTGACCATTACTTTTAGTGTAAAAAGGCCAGCAAACCACCAGCTATGACACGTATTTGGAGTCATTCTAATAATAGCAACAAAATGCAATTGGCTAGCCATGAAATGTGATGCATCTAAAATCACAAGTCACCAAGAAATGCAAAACTGATCTCTGCTAACCTATTCTGGCTCCCCTTGTACTGAGACTGCTATTAAGATGCTATTAACTAGTAACTGCTATTATTAAATCCCTGATTTATGCATGTGAAACATAACAGCATTATGTTTCCTAAATTCCTTCCCCTCAGATGTTTATTTGCAGTCACTGGCAACTCCTGAATGAGTGAAATACACAGTATCACATATGACAAATTAGCAGTGCTGGGAGAACATTTGTTAGGCATCAGCTGTTTGAATTTTCCTTTCCACTTAGTATCTTACAGCTTTGTTTTTCCTATAGAAAAAGCATAAGAGATTTGCTAGTGACTACATGAATCTAGACATCCTCCCACTGAAACTGGCAGCAAAGGTTCCCCAGACTTCTTAAGAGAATAGGTCAGCTTATGGTGAGCATTGGTGAAGGCTCTGCATTACAATCACAAGCATGCCGCCCATCAGCTGTAGGAGACTATTGGAGTAATCTGAAATCCCTCAAGAGAAACAGGGTGCATTTCATATTCTAGCAAGGAGACAGGGGTTTTTTAATGTGCTTCCTTACATCTCTACCCTATTCTGTGTGATGCACTGACTGCTAACGGTAGTTTCACATCAGTTTGCACAGCCATAAATGTACATGACAGGAAAAACAGCGGAACATGGGACTGCTGACAACTGGCCTAAAATCTCTGGGATCTGAATGCTCCAGAGCATATGTACCTATGTGTAGAGCATGAAAATCTCATGAAAAAAACGCAGGAACTGTTCAGTGAAAAAAATTCTACTGGTCTTGTTGAGGGTGAGGACCCACTAGGCCTGGCAGAAATGCTCATGGTAAGAGTCCAAGCAGTCTTCTTTTCAAGCATAAAGACAGCACTAAAGAGAAATGTACTTAAAGACAATTTTTTCTTGTCAGCATGGCTGAGAAGAGAGACACACAGCTAACTCCATGCAAATGATAATTTGCAGTAATGGAGAGCACTGACTTTCTTACCTCTGTGGCTGCAGAACTGCCACCTAGGTCCCGGGAGACAAAAAGGTTGACAATGGGCCTACTTATTCGCTGAGTTGCCAAAATTAATGCCAAAGGCCACCAGAAACTCAGCATCTTCCTTATTGTAGCCTCTCCCTGCAACACATAGGAAAAAACAAAGAAGAAGTGGGTTTGGAAAAAAACATGCAGAACTGAAACGAAAACACAGAGAAAGGATTTTCATTTTCCCACACACTGGCAGTTTTGTACATTAATTTCAATAGTTTTCAACATGAGGAGCCTAAAATATTTTTACTCACGCTAGTAATACTGATTCAAAAGAAGCAGTGTCATGGTTCTCAATAAATAATGTATAAGGTACCTATCTGCATAACTTGCTCTGGCTACCAGACAAAGATATGTGAAAACCAATATGACATTTGAGGAAAAAGAGGAATTTTGGGACCGTCTTCTCTGTGAAATAAGGTGTCCACTTAGTTCATGCTGTGCTGTCTTATAGCTCAGTACAGAGCTCGGTATAGAGGTGCTCAGTAGACAGCACATCCATACCATGGGAAGCATTGCCTCACGTGTACTGCTGCTGGAACAGTTTTTTACCATGCCTCTTTTAGTGAAAATGTTTTTTCCTGCAGGACAGAGAGAGCCAGCCCCTCATGCGCAGTGGTTTAATACAGTATTATAACTCAAAAAGAAAGTTTAAAATTATTGAATTTCAAAAAGTACAAAGTATTAAGACATACCCCCATTTCAGGCCCACTTCTATCAGGAATGACATCATGTATGTTCCTGTAGTATCCGAGGCATAACGTGGTACATCGGACAAGTGCTCCCATGTATAAGGACAAGATTGGGATCAAGAGAGGCTCCCTGCACTCCAAGTGACTGTGAAGCAAAATGGCTACAAAAACAACCTGCAGGGCAAACAAATAAATGATTAGTATTTTGCCTGTGTGTTTCTTTAGGGTCAGCATATTTCCTGTCTGACTCCAAACTAGTCCATCCGAACCAACAACCATGTGTGATTACAGTATCTATCTGACTTCAAACTTGTGGCATTTGAAACTTCAGTTAGGACTCCTCCTGCATTTGGTCATATAAATGAGAAGAACAAGAGTTAACATCATACAGAAGCTCTGTTAAACAGTACTTGAAGGTATGGGCAGGTGTCAGACTAGGAGCCATAAATAGAAGAAGGTTAGCATGAAAGTCTGGCAAGGTCTGCCAGCAAGCATGTGGCTGAATGTCACCCTTCCCAGGAGAACGTGCTATTCTGACATACACTGAGGTTGGACACATGCTTCTAGGGTCAGCTTCTAAGCCCAATTTTTTTTGGGGGTGTGGGGGGGGTGTGGGGTGTGAGCAGTGGCAATGAAAAAGCCAGATGTTGTAAGGCATTCACTTCCACATTTAGAAGCAGAAGTCTAATGTCATCCTAATTTTCTACTTTTCTGAGTGAAATTTCAGTATTTCACCATTCTCTTTTCAGCTGAGTGCCACATTGATATAAATGAAATGGAAACTTTTGGGTAATGAACAGCTTATAATTCAGTTTCTAAGATTAACTGCTCAATCCAGAAAATGAAAAGGAATTGATTAATATGATACCATTCTCTTTGTTAAGTACAGAGCTGATGGCATGCCTGTTAAATCCCGAATGTCCCTGGATGGAGGGCACAACTGGAAAGCCAACTGTGTTTGGTGCTGTGAACAGCAGAATCAAGGACAACCCCACCGGGACGTACTTGCATTCAAGTGAGTTACAAGAAATACAAAACACATTGTTCAGGGGCAGGTTCTTTCCTTCATTGCTAGAGCTCAAGAAATACTTAAGAAAAATCACACTGTGCAAATGTTTATTAGGCCACACTGTTTATGAGCATTTGCAAAACTGGTCTTTCGAACCCTATAAAAGAATTGGTTTTCAGCAAACAGAAGCAAAGTCAGTCACAAAAGTGTGTATAAGAAGCTACCCAAGGAGAATTAGCTACTGCCTGTGCACCTATTGCTTGTGTAGGGAGCAGACCTAGGTCTAGAGAGTTCCAGGGTATGGAGAGGCACAACTTCTGGTCTTACAGATTTGCTCTTGCTCTGTGTAGTATTTTGTTGAGATAAGATGCCAGGTGTCTTACTCTTCACAACCCTGGCATCCCACTCACCAACCATTGTGGAAAGGGCATGTGTACCACTGCCAAAATAGGAATGTGTTTCTGTATTTAGCTGTATATGACACGAAATGCATGCAGGGTCAGCAAACTTTGTAGGTCACATCAGAACAAGAGCAGATCCTGAGGGTTAAGATCATTCACAGTAATTGGTATTATCTTCAGGGATTTAGTCCAGTACTGTAGAGGGGCAGACCTGCCCAACATAGAATAGCAGCTGACTCAATGGTTCAACCTGGTTTATGGTTTGCTCATATTTAGTGGGAAGAAAATGCTATGGAAAATTGAACTAAGTGCTGTTGACTTCATATTTCCTTTGATGTTGTACTGTCATTGTCCTCTTTATTACCTGGCCATTACACCATTCATCTAGTAATGGCGCAGTTTTACTGTTTTACAGGTGCTAGGACTCGTCATTTCATCATTATTACTCTCCATTTTATATATGCTTTAAAAAGAGAGTGGTATATTGCTTCTCAAATGCTACAACACTGGCCATCAGAAATATATACGAATGTTGTTTTTTAAGTGTGTCTAGTACAAAGCAACAGGATAGTTAACACCTCCCTCGCAAATGAAAGTTCAAATCACATTTGGTCTTCTCTGCATCACCCAGGGGCTATCACCACAGATCCCTTCTACTGCAGTTCTGAGCCCTCACCTTTTGGACCAGTGACAAGAACAGTGCCATGCTGGCTCTCAGAAGACGGCTTACACTACTGCATTTCAGCAGTAGGTAGACAGCATGTGCAAACCTGGCAAATGAACTGGAGAACGAAGCCTTAACTTCCCCACCTGCAAGCCCCACTCAGGATTTCAGTGCAACTGTGCGAAGCGTGGGGAGAATGCATGCGGGGGAGAATGCATGCAAGGGACTCACTTTGAAAGCACTCTGTCAGCCTCAGGATTGGTAGCAGCCATTGCTCTCTTTGCCTGACCTTTCTTTTTCCCAGATGTACACATGTATATACAACTTGTTTCTCAGCCATTCTAAACAGGGTTGTGTAGGCACCGGAGAACATGGCCCTAGCCCAAGCAATCCTGGTTCCCTTCTCCTGACATTGGTTTGGGACTGACTTGATCCAGTCAAGTGAGACCAGCCTAAACCACAGCTGCCAGCAAACAGCCTCCACATGATGAGGAAACACCAAGAGAACAGCACACAAGATGATGTTCTCTGATGTGCTGTTAACAGTAGAGAGAGAAGGCAGTCTCTGTGCAACAGAGTTTCTGCTTAGGAAAGCATCCAGTCCATAACACAACAGAAACAGTGACTGCTAAGAGGAGTCATCACCTGAGCTATGACATCTGAGATGGAGGCACATCCCACTAGGAAACTGTATTTGTGTTTCAGCAGAATCCCAGCATGGGTCCATGCCTGAAAAAAGGCAGAGAAGAGTTTGGGAAGTTATTATGATATTTGTGAATAACTTCAGGTCCCAGAATGCTGTTTTCTGGTTGTTACATTGTACACAAACAACTTATGAAGCTCTTTACCACCAGCAGTACCTGGTGTGAACCTGGGCAAATGTTAAGCCAGTAATGCAGAGAAAGCACTGTTGCATTCAGTTCCTCACTGCCAAGGCTGACAGGGAGAATGGAAGTAATTTTATAGATAGCATAGAAATTTCTGAGCAGATGTAACAAGAAACTGCCCCTTCCGAATAAAACAGATGCTGAACAGGATGGATTATCATACTAAATAATCTGAGGGGAAAAAAATGTTTATTCTCATTCACCAGCTGGATGCGCCTCTGAAGTGCCCGCTCATCGGCCCACTGAGTTATAATGAGTCTTGTCTGCTAAAGAAAACTTAATGATCCAGCTTCTTTTTATTGCCAGTTACTGTTTCAGGCAAAGCGGTAGAGAAAGCTTTACCTATTTTACACAAAAGTCGAGGCATTAAAGAGAGCTGCCATACTTTTATGTTGTGCGGGCCACAAGCAGTAAGCCTGGTGATGTGGCAAGCAGCAGCCCACCCCACGTGTGGCTCTCTTGCCCAAGCATTTGAGATATACTGGACTTAGCTGTGCTCACAAAAATTGATGGTAAAAAAACCCTTTTCAACAAATTTGCTTTGAGAAAATATTGAGCTTATTCCTTGTGAGCTCTGCAAGTGATCTGGGAATGCATGGCAAATCCAACTCTTTCACTACAAACTGGAATGAGAGGACACATACAGACAACAGGTGCAGCTCATCACAAGACGACCAGTGCTTTCCAGCATGCACATACAGTAACTGTAACAAGGCAGCTGAGGTTTTTTACATTTGTCATGATCTCTGGATGTTCAAAGTCCACCCAGATGCTTTTTCCAGGCAGCAGGAGATGATGTGTCCAGAGCTACCACTTGCAAAGGACATACCTTCCTTCTGCACACCTCCAGCTTCCCATCAGGTAACAGACTTTGTGAACTAAGGTCACCAAAGAAAAAAACACATTAATATTGAAATTCAGTTCTGAATCAGGAACTCACCATGGCATCCATAAAAGGGAAGGCAGCAAGATAAAGGAAGGCCCTCCGAGTTTTACTTCCCACTGACTCATCCACATGGTGCAGCTTATTAATAATGTAATACCCCAAATCACTATATGCTGTAGAGACAAAAGAATAGGAATGAATAATAAAGGTTACATACGGACTGTTGGTGAGATACTCAGAAGTACGTGAAAGACTGTGACACCCAGGAGCTCAGACATACATCCACTTAGCAACAGCTGCAGGGGCTTCAGCATATTACAGCCTCACCAGCTGCTGTTTATGACTAAGGAGTGCTCTCGCGGTTCTGTTACAAGAAACCTTTGGCAGAGGAGTGATAACAAATGGCTGGGTTGGGAGATGGGTATAGTAAGTGCCACATCTGTTTGCTAAATGAACACACTGGTACTCCAGAAAATCTACTGCTCTTTCATTAACTCAAGGCTCTGTTAGAAAAGCTGTTTTCACCAGGCACTGTGTATTTCATAGGATGTAGTACTTCATAAATGCTGAAATCATCTATTGTCACTGCATTCGCACGACATTACCTGTAAACCTGCCCAAAGCTGTAAAAGGATACTATGAATTGCAAAGGCATGCAACAAAACATACTCATTATGCCTCTCCCTTACTCTGCCTAATGATCACCTCTGCTAGGACCTGTCAGGGCACTGTGCCCTTCACTATACAGTCTCCGGGCAGCCTCGACCAGCCTTAGTTTCCTTCCTTCTCTAGAGCCAGCATCTCAGGAATCACAACTCAGAAACGAGCACCATGGGAAAACAGGGGGTCGTCACTTCCAATCACCAGTATGTTATTTCCCCGTCCTGTTTCAACCTGAGACAAGCATTTTGGCATTAAGCAACATACCTCTTGTCAGGTCTCTCTTCCCAAAGCGTTGGGTTGAAGACAGCACAGACGCCAGGGACTCTCTAAAGACACACAGCTCTCTAAAGAACTGCTTACATCTCTGCTAGCACCCATGTCATCCAGCTGTTTTAATAACCAGGAATAACGAAGGGCTAGCTAGGACTGGAGTCTCTGAACTAAGGAGACTTACATAATATGCATAGTTAAATAACCCAAATAGTTTTTAACCTTTTATAAACTATGTTCTAGACCTGCATATGATTACTTAGATTCCTCTATACACTTGTAATAGCTGTTAAAAGAATGATAAGGTTGTAAAGTCAACATCCCAACAAGTAATGGCAGAATTACTTGTGCCTGGGGAATCTTACCTCAGTTCCCTTCCAACTGTGTGTTTTCTAAGATAATTATTTCAAATGTGAACATCTATTTGATTTTCCATTTATAACAACTCTATTGCCATAGAATCACAGAATCATAGAATGGTGGGTTGCAAGGGACGTTAAAGATCATCTAGTTCCTGCCATGGGCAGGGACACCTTCCACTAGACCAGGTTGCTCAATGCCCCATCCAACCTGGCCTTGAACAAGCCACAGTTTCTCTGGGCAACCTATACCAGTGTCTCACTACCCTCACAGTGGAGAACTTTTTCCTAACATCTAATCCAAATCTCCCCTCTTTCAGTTTGAAACCGTAACCCCTCATTCTATCACTGCACTCCCTGGCAAAGAGTCCCTCCCCACCTTTCCTGTAGGTCCCCTTTAAGTACTGGAAGGTTGCTATAAGATGTCCCTGGAGCCTTCTCTTCTCCAGGCTGAACAACCCCAACTCTCTCAGCCTGTCCTCCGAGGGCAGGTGCTCCAGCCCCCTGATCATCTTTGTGGACCCTTGTGGACCTGCTCCAACAGATCTGTTTCTTTCTTGTACTGAGGGCCCCAGAGCTGAACACAGTACTCCAGGCTGGGTCTCACCAGAGCAGAGCAGAGGGGCAGAATCACCTCCCTCGACCTGCTGGCCATGCTTCTTTTGATGCAGCCCAGGATGTGGTGCCAGTGACTGGCTTTCTTGGCTGTGAGAGCATGTTGCTGGCTCACGTCCAGCTTTTCGTCCACCAACACCCCCAGGTCCTTCTCTGCAGGGCTGCTCTGAACCCACTCATCGCCCAGCCTGTATTTGTGCTTGGGATTGCCCTGATCCATGTGCAGGACTTTGCGCTGGGCCTTGTTGAACTTCATGAGGTTTGCACAGGCCCAGCTCTCTGGCCCATCAAGGTCCCTCTGGATGGCCTCCCTTCCCTCCAGCACATTGACTGCATCACACAGCTTGGTGTCACCAGCAAACCTGCTGAGGGTGCACTCAATCCCACTGTCCATGTCACCGAAAAAGATGTTAAACTGCACTGGTCCCAGTACTGACCCTTGAGGAATGCCACTTGTCACTGGTCTCCACTCAGACATCGAGCCGTTGACTGTGACTCTCTGAGTGTGATCATCCAGCCAATATAATTGTACAGACCTTCACACAGGGTATTTCAGGAAGGTTATCCTTTTCATGCATGCAGGTCACATAATCGGATTGACAAATGCTAACACTAGCTGTCCAATTCAATCTTTTTAGTCTAAAGCTCTCTCTCATAACTCATAAACAGTGTTTGGAAGCAATTAAAGAGGACTTTTAAGTCATCATTGTTTTGTGATGGCGTAGAGACACAGCAGTTAAATGGTTAACAGGACTGAAAGGACTTTTTCACTCTGAACAAGACAGCGTAAACAAGGTAGTAAAATAGAAGGAGGTGGTATGACAGCACTGGGAACAGGCATGAGCCTCATTCCAGACAATCAGGAGTGCCCGAAAGATGTTAAAATGTTAAAACTCCCCTTTTCCCTATGCTGGTCCCTATCTATATGTCTTTCACCTAAACTGCGACTGTCAGACTCTCAGTCTCCCAGTTCACCCAGTAATCCCCAAGCTGCTTAATCATCCTCATGAGGCACTCCCAGCCTTGTTTCCTTTTGAAGGGTGTTGGGGAAGAACTTTAAACCAGGACTCCAACCTTCCCTCAGTTCAGGGAAGCCAGTTTAGTTCTTGAAGTGTTCTTGTGCTTTTTACAGTCCAGTCACACATCAAGCACACCCTCTTGTTATTTTTGCATGAATACCCACACACCAATTTTTGCTCAGCATTTTGAAAACTGTGTTATGCATGGATTTTTTGCATGGTAAGTCCATGTGGAAAGCCGGTTTTATGGCAGGGCGGCATATGGATGTTTCTGGATCAACTTATTTGAATGAAGAAGTAGTTTGGAAGGCATGTGAGGCAAGCTGCCTGCAAGGGTCAGATTCATCCAGCTGTCTCTTAGGTTCCATTGAAGTTGCTTTACACTTCTGCACAAAAACTTCAAAACTGCTGCAGGAAACACACCAGCCTTATTCCCTACATGGGGACTGACAGAATCAGAGTCGAGGTGCTGAGGAATCTGCTGCTGCGGAGATGCTGAGAAGACAGCATGCCACAGAAGTCCATGCTCTCCATGCACTTCACCTGCTTGGCTTCCCCTGATTCAAGGGAGTCTTCTAAAGTGTTTAGAAAATGAGTAATGAGTAACTTTTTTTGGCTCTAAAAGCCATTGAGATTTTTTGTTTGTTTTTGAAGTTCACTACCACAGAAAAATTCATAGAATCAGAGGGGTCAGAGGCTGAACTACTCTTACTTCTAGGAACAGACAGTTGACCACAGGGTTGTAGTTTATTGGCAGGGCACTCTCAAGGGACTAACACCACCACAGCTCACAGGGATTCTAGGGATATCAGCACTGTGCTCTGTAAGATTTAAGATTCTTTTTTCTCTCCCCCATCCAAAAAAAAAAGTCTAACTGTAGCTTTAAATGTGATTTTGATTTTAAATGGTAACAGCTAAGCTTAAAAGCTAGTTTTAAAATAGTCAACTATTCCACATGCCAGTGAAAGCACACAATTGCTTTTGCTGATATCCATGAATGTTTCCATCCCCAGAAAGAAGGACTCAGCAAGCTGAGATTTACTGACAAATATACAGGCATGTGTCTCTGAGTTGTGAATAAAGCAATTGCTGATGCAATTAGAACTTAACCTTGGCCAACCTTACAAACTTATGATGAAGCATGGTACAAAATTAATAACACAGACAGAGCTGAAGAGTATTACATGAATCTAAAGCAGATAGCTCTTCCATTCCTTCTATCATTTCAACCAAAACACAGAAGTCCAACTCCAAGAGAAGCTGCCTGTTTGCTCTCCTCTAATACCTCATTTATTTTGATGTCTATGGATTAGTTTTGCTACAGAATTTAAGCAGGAGTTCTTGCTTTTGCCTTTTCTAGTTGAGTTTTAAGACCCAGAAGCTTAAGAAATGAGACTGAAAGCTGCATACCTAATTGGATCTCCTCTTCCCTAGACTTCTAAAAGCCAATTACTACCACAGAAACTTCAGGCATTCTTAAAACAACTGAACACACTCTTAATAATGCCAACAGTCTCAAACAAATAGCTGTAGCATAGGCATTTTGGAGCTGTCTACCATCCAGCATGCTATACTTACATCATAAAGAAAACAAAAAGAAACCCTCATAGGAAGCGATACCATTTACTTCCAGACACAAAGCTACATAGGTCAATATTAGCTTTACTGGAGGAGAAAAAAATCCAAAAATGTTTTTGGGTTAAAGTGTGTTCTTCTTAGATGCATTCCATTTTCATACTTTGCTGGCAGTTTTAAAAATGAACTTGAAGACCTGAGGTAAAAATCTATTCTGCTGCTTGTCAGAAAGATGGCTCACCTGGCCAAAAGCGGTGCCGGTCAGGAGTTTGTTCAGCTAAGTATTTGGGCAGATAGAAAAATGCCCATTTGGAAAAAAAATAAAAAACAAATGGCAAATCTTCATTTGGAGATGACAAAGGGCACACAGATTTAGGTCTTTCATTAGCCTGACTTAAAGCAGCAGCAAAAGCCTGTGTCCCCCTCATGAAAGCCTGGATGACTGCAGTGTTTCAGGCACTGTGATTTTTTTTCTTATAGTAATAAATTAAAAACAAACAAAACAATAGCTTAGGATCATCTTAATGCAGACTGATTACTGCAACCACCTTTTTCTGTGCTCAGGTCTAGTTCAAAAATTGCATTACCTGATTTTCTCAAATCTATCAATGACTGTTAGTCTCTGAAATATCTTTAGGTAGGCCAACATGTCATAAGTCTCAAAATTAGACAGTTTTAGCTAAAACCCAATCATTGCTATCCTTAAATCCACAAATGTTTTGGTCATTGGTTTTCTTCCTTCTTCCTTTGCCCTGAATACCTTGCTGATAAGAAAATGCCCCTGTTGTGGGAGAAGGGTTGGGGCAGCTGGGGAAGCATGTTACTGCTTTAGCAATGGTCTTCTGAAGATGCTGACACAGGACACATTTTTAATGAACAACATATCATCTTTTAGAAAGAAAGAAAAAAACCAAGCCTGGATTACATTCTGATCTGTATTCCTGTGCTATCATCTTTTTCCTGAGCAAAACATTTAGTACAAGCCAGTACAGTGGGCACATCAGAACAAGACAGACTGGAAAAAATAGCTCAGGTTACCATAAGCCACTCCATAACTCTTTGCCTATAGAAAATTCCAGTAGCATTACACTAGAAGTGGTGGGATTACACCTGTGTCTCACTTCTTATACAGATCCTTCATGTACACACAGTGACCATGCATGCGGGAAGTTCAAAAGAATCAGTGGAACGACTAGCAACTGCTGAAGTTTTCTCCAGGCAATCTCTGCAGGGAGTAGCCCATGCCCACTAGTCTGTCAGTAATAAATTGACACAAAACAAATCAGTTGTGTCTTGACCATCCAGACTGCTATAGGTTTGCCTGGTTACTGAAGTTTCAACTTTTTTTTTTCCTGGTGATGACAAATGATCCCTCATGTAGTTTTTAATCAGGTGTAGTGGGAACCAGTTATGAATGTCTACTTCAACAAAGAGGCTTGTTTCTCCAAAGTAACTTCTGCTTTGTCATTTCCAGAACAGAGAGCTGTAAAAAGTAATATTAATACTGAAAAGGAAATAAACTGTCTCAGTATAGTATTTCTCAGTAAACTAGTGAAATGATGAACAATGCTGGTTTATTGCCACAGAAAATACGCATGTCTTTCATGACATTGGTGTTTAAAGGACCTACTTAGTATGAAGAGCTTACCAGCAACACCATGAAATGCATTATGTTGGCATATTGTTATACAAATGATTTCTATCTGTCAAGCTGGCAATTTACTAAGATGTCAAAAATATGCACAGACAGGCTTAGCATCTTGAGTCCCTCCTCTTACAGCCCAGTATTCCCACCAGAAGTCGATCTCTGAAATACTGAGATGCTTCAGACCTTGGCTACACAGCAATCTTCCAGGAAACCCTAACTGGTGGCAGTAGCTGCCCCCAAAACAGTACAAGGGAAGGAAGGCAGCATACTATCTTCTATTTCCAGTTCACAACTGAAACAGCAAATCCAGGAATACTGTACTGATCAAGGCTTGCAGCAGCATTGTAAGTGGGACAAAAAACCATAGTTTCAAAACCCCTTGGTCAAGGTCAACTTGTTTCTTGGTCCTTACTGCTACCTGTACAGAGGAGTGATAGGAAATGCTGGTGAGGACTTTGTAGATGTTCATGGGGATATGGTGGGGTGATGACTTCAGGACCCAGAACTTGCAGCTGTAAGTGGTTTGGCTCAGCTAGTCACTGCCACAGAGAACCGCATTAGCCCCAGTGGGGAAGCAGTACTGAGGAGCTGGTGCTGAAGCAATGAAGCAGGAGTCAGGTGGGTGAAATGGTCTGTTTTGATATTTTAAATAAGCAGAGACTGCTCTTTGTGAGGACTTGTCTGTGCAGACTGCAAACAGTCTCCGTCACAGTTGGAAATGTGGTGATTCATTGTGGTCACTGTGTTTCTACCACTGCTTGTTTTCTTCCTTCTGACTTTTGGTACTCCTCCTTATTTCACCGGGCTTTTTGTTCCCTTTTCCTTCCTGGGCTTCAACAGTCCATGGCAGACAGTCATTTAATGTTCCTTAGCTCCATACACACGGTATCTGGAAGAAATTCAGTCCCCCAAGCACTGTTCGTTTCTTTTTCATCTGCCAAACATCAGTAACCTGTATTTGTGTCTTCTGTAGGTAGCCTGTTATAGGCTTGCAGCTGCTGGTCCTAGGAGGTTGCCTCTCACTGGACTCCTCTTCCTCCTCCTAGGCAGGTTGTGCATCTGTAGGTCAGAGAAGAATAACCAGGATTTGAAACAGGTTCAAAGGAAACTTGGAACATAAAAGCTTGGCAACATTACCCAGGCAATTGGTGCTAGAATCTGACTAATTCCATTATCTCAGGCACTTTGCCAGTCTCTGCTGTGGCCTTTGCATATTTTCAGGCATAGACAAGTTAAAATACTGAAAAATATTTTCAGTCTGCCACCATAAGCAGCTGAAAGATTGTGTGAAGCCCATTAATTCAGGACTTAAAAGCACGGTTAAGTACAGCCTTTTTTTTTCTCCTAGTATCTGCAGAGAGGTTATTTCAGAGGTTCTGAACTCAGCAGGGCTCTACTTCCAGGGAAAGGCAAGAAACTTCTGGTGTGTTTTCCAACGGTTGCCCCAAATATCTCCCTTCAATAAGAAGCCCCACACGGAAAATCCAGCTATGTCTTTCACCTGGAAATTTGATAGTTATGCTTTAAATTTTAAGCTGCAATAGATTTTAAGAAAATGTTGGATGGCTAGAAAGTATTTCTTTATCCAGCAGGCAAAGCCAAAAACTTTGACCAGTACTGGCAGGAAAACAAGCAAGCAACCAGAAAAGCAGCTCTGGGGGCTGAAGAAACATTCCAAGCAAAGAAATATGAGCACCAAATGTACAAATGGCCCAAAGTTTTTAATAATGACTCAATAAAGCTGCCTCAACTGTAAACATATTGAGGAAGTGACCAGTTGATACCAGTGAATTAATTTAGTTTGAACACATGGATTCAGTTTATAAAATTAGCAACAGCTTATCCCTGGCACAGAGTTGCCACAACTAATGAGCCATTACTGTAAGCATTTATTGTGACCCTAACATGGAGTAAACACAAAGAGTACAGGGCTGCCATATCAGTGATGGAATGAGACATGATGGTCAAAAAAACTGGAGTGCTTGGGAAGCACATAAAACTGGTGAATGTAGCTGGCAGCCTGTTAAAAGATAAAACCAGGGGGCATTCACGTTTACCAGACAGCTCTTGTACCTACTTGGGCAGGAACTGAAATGGTCTATCCTGTTCTGTTCTATAGGCTGACCAGCAGCACGTGCTGCTCTTGACATACTATAAGCCTCATCCTGAATGGTACCTCTCTTCCAGGCCACTCCAATCTCACAGCAATTCTGGATACTGCCATCACATTCGCATTTCCCATCTTTCCGCAATGGAATGACCCCCTAACTGCTGGTCACCCAACTCAACCCTACTGCCTGTCAACCAACATATGCCTCCATAGGCTGTTCCATTACCTCCCTCCTCCCACCCTGTAGAGCTCCCAGCTTTTAGTATTTTACCTGTTGAATGCAATGCATTCTTTGCTTCTTCCTCCAGTGTCTCCTGTTCCTTGTTGCTGAGGTCCAGGGGTTTTGGCTCTGTAGAATGAGCCACAAGGTGCAGAGAATCTGATGTAGTTCTTGGAGAGGATGAAGTTAACGTCTTCCAGGTCACATGGCTTTTTATTGCTGTGGCTGATTCTTGGGTTGATAATCCACTTCTCCAGGCTCTCAGAAACTGACAAATCCTGTGGCTGCCTTACTCATCTGCTTGTGTATTTTCTTTCAGAGTACACTCAGGGAGCTGGTCTCAGTTTGGCATACAGTGCTCTTAGTAACTATTTCTCCTACAGATTAATTATTCTACAGAAGTGGATGATGACTAGCACTAGTAGAGAGTAATACCCAATATTTTAATGAGGATGCTGGCACCTACTTGCTTAGTTTTATACTGCAAGATAACTAGCAAAGGAATAGGTACAGAGGGAGTACACCAACAATGCCACCAAGTTCTGACAAACAGCCCTACCAAGCACACCTTGAAGTCCTGCTAAATGCATTTGGGTAGATACTGCTAGTTGATCGTCACTACCTAACAGCAATACTGAGCTATAAGCTTCATGCAACCTGTCAACCTTGCCAAAGTTCTGCTTGCACACCTGACTGAAAGATCAGCAGCATGTTTTGCTCCCAGACAGGAGACCATGGGGGTGGAATCTGCCACTTAATCTGTTTAAAAAGTAATAAAAATTGTGTGGATGGGCATGATACCAGCCCAAGAGATTTAATCTTTTGCACCTCTTGTTGCACTTACAAATGAAATCTTAAGCCTACAGATTAATCAGTTTGCAGAACAGGCAAGGAAAGCAAGTTAAAAGACATTAATTAGACATGAAGTGACCTTACCTATTAAGGTATGAAACACAGCAGCTACAGCACCAGCCACAACCATGCACAAAACTGCTTTGGTCCTGTCTCGCTTGCTGTTCACAAACACCAGACCTACATTTTTGAAGTCACTCATCGGACCTGTGAAGAACTTCATCAGGGAGTATGCCAGCCCATAGCTGGCCAGCATTTCCACAGCATCTTCCTTGACAGCAGCAATGCCTCTATTCAAGGCCTGTTGAAACACAGAAAGAGCAAATAACATAGTACATGTGGAAGTGCATCAAAAACAATCTTCTGCAGCTGGTTTCTGAAGGAATAAGCAAGCTCAGCTCTTACTGTTTTCACACCAAATGGGACCTTATTTCTCTGCGTTCAGCAGCAGTAACTTGTGATACAGGCAACTTCATACTTTCAGACGGACACTAAATTCAAGTCAAGTAGACTTGAAAATAAGGTAAATATCTGTTTCTAAAGTACATAATGGAACTCCTGCTATACCAGAAGTCAGTCTTTTTCATTTTTAGACTAATTTCATGACCTGCTAATAATCATGGATGATACAAGACCATTTCAATACCACTTTGAGGCCTCAGCCCTGAACTGAGCAAAGCAGTCCTTTCATGCCAACTTTACAGGTAAAAACTCTGACATCATTATATGCTGAAATTTCAGAAGCTCAAACTTTTTTCAGTGTAATGAGCTTTTCACTACATACCATGTAATCCTTGTGTATAGCTGATCTTATCCTACGACATTTATTATGAAACTAGGCCAAATATGCATGTGACTAAACATAACTGTCCTTTCACGTATTTCACAAGGTTCTGATCCTATATTCATCCGTATCTCCTTGTAACATTCAAAAAGAAATACAGCACATATATTTCAAGGCATACTCAGGCTCAATTAACCTACTAACTCATTCTAGGTCTATATTTAGGAAACATCTGCAAATGAATCACTGAGAATTAGATGGATCATTTTCATAACCAAGATGAACCACAGAAAAAATGTGTAATACTGCTTCAGATTCCAGCTTGCAGCAAAATGCTTCTAAAATATTGAATAAAAATGACAGAAAGATAAATTTTATCTGCAGTGTGACAGCATCAATCAACTGGTACACACAAACTGTTAAAACAAGATAGATTCAAAAAGCATGAAGGATGAAATAAGACTTGTTTTCGCAAGTATTTAGTTCCTATGCATTACAGCTGATGTGTGCTGACAGGGCCATGGCAACGAGGCCAACCAGGAACATGTCACTAACCCACCATCCAAGTCTCTGTCTATCCACTTACACAGCAGTTCTAATACCACTCTTCCTGAATGAACAAACAAGGCAGAGTATCATCAGGTAATCATGGTAAAGTCCTTCCATTTGAAATGTAAGCATAGCCTTTTTGTTACAGTCTTTTGACTTTTTTTTTTCCCTTCCAAAGACCATATAAGCAAGCAACTCACTGAATTCAAAAGAAACCATATCCCCATAGCAGAAACAAGCATTTTTCCTACTGTTCTTCTCCACTCTTTCTGCTAGATGTGCTTAAGTTTTGAAACTAAAGCTGCACTGACAACATAGCAAAAAGCTGCAGAAAATACCAACTTCTCCATCCTTGGTATCTACGAAATCTCTCTTGCAATGTGCTCTGACCTGAACACCTGAGGATCCAAACATTTTCACCTGTCTCGCTCCACTTCGCCCCTTCCTGCGAATAGGATGTGTTAGATATGGAATATCAGCAGCTGCTATATGCAGCCTTTTCTGAGGTATAGATAATTCCATTTATTGCATTAATAAGAGTTCAGATTATATTTAATCTGCAGATGCCAAAATCACTAGTGGGTGCATAAAACTGTACTCACTTTGTGGAAAAGACTGTGACCTCTAAAATGAATAGTCAAGTTTAGCTGTCTTTTGTGATGATGCTGTAATCAAGATCAAGGTGTATACAGGGTTATTTAAACTTCCTAAAGATGCTGATTCACCCTATTGCTGTTGCCGGTAATAGGCAAATAGCCTTAAATTATGCCATATAGAGGGTTCTTTGATCACTGATTCTTCCCCCTTTTGTCAACAGTGAAGTATTTCTGGCAGCTTCAATTTAAAGAGAAACAGCTAACCAATTTCAGGTAGTTATGTCCAGCACAGTTTCAAAAGCAAGTGCTTCCTTCCTGGTTTGGACAGCTACTGAAAACCAGACTCTGTGGAAGATGTTAATCCACTTCTGACAAGGTCCCTAGGATAAACTAAGAAATCATATTTCATCAAGAGGCACAACACTATGATTCCTCTGCAGAGAGATAAATCTTTGTTGAGCATAGTCCTCAAGCCAGTGAGAGTAGCTCTGTGTGACTAGACCCAGTGTAACTAAGTTTTCAACCCAAGTACGACAGACAGAAAGACCTGAGCACTCCTCTACCTCTCCTTCTGGTTGTCTACATTTAGCCTGTACCTGGGGCTAAACCATAACAGTCACTCAATACCCAACAACCCCGCACCAGCCAGGGATAGGAAGCAAGAAAAAGGAGAGCAGACCCACAGGATAAAGTGAAACAAATTTAATGAAACACCACCAATACCAACAGAGACACATAGAGTTATACTCAGCCAAATGAAGCTCTAGTCCTCACAATCAACCAGAGAGCAGTCCTCAAAAGAAACTAGAGAAGCAGGATAAACCTCAGCAGAAATCGCACAGGAGCTCCCTCTCCTCAGCAAACCTTCCCCTTTATAATGCCCATGCCATGATGGGATGGGCTACACCTGTAGCTCACTCAGGTCAGCTGCCCTGGCTGACCTGAAACTGCTAACGGCCTGCCAGGCATGGCTGGGCTGTGACTCTGCCCCAGCCAAACCAGGAGACTGGTTTTACAGCCTGAACTCAGATCTGTTTTGTATGACCAAATGACAGTCAAGTAGATACTGAGTCATTTTCCCCAGAGACACACTGTGTACCAGGTCAGGTAAACTGGCAAAATCCAAAAGGGACTTTTGTAAGAAGTATGTTGCCATTAATTTATACTCCTGTCGAACAGTTGGCTGACATGAGGAAATACTCTAGAAGCTAGCCCTGGAAAAGAAATCCTCCTAAATGCTTCTTTGGAAAGATCCTTAGGAAATGAACAGTCAGTAGGGCTGTGTACAGATGGTTTACCTTCTGTAGCTTTTCACTTTCCCTTTCCACTTCAAGATGACAATGAAAAAGGTTCTTCATCCTCAGCTTTCAAACACTATATGAGAACTTGTATAGCTTTTCTACCCCATGTACCTTAGAATATTTTTTGCTACTGAAACTGCTGATGTCATATTTGATATCATTAAATCCACAAGAAATCCCAGATACTTGATAAAGGTGCTTTGGGGTGCAACAGGAAAGACACAGCCACTTGATTGTTCATAGCATGCCAGTCATGCAGTTGGTAATCTTGCAGTCTAATTTCCTGTTAGATTTCAAATTAAATTTCTCATAAAGGAAGAAAAATATAAACGAGGGCAAGATCTCTATTTTTTTACCTGACTATTTCACACACTTTTTGTGTGAACAAAAATCAATAACAAAACTTCATCAGTAGCATCTGTATTCCATGTTTATTTCACACACAACAGAGCATATCTCTACAAAGATTTGTTTAGCTTGTCAATGAAATCACACAGAACTAGGTAGTAATAATAATGACAATATTTAACAGGAGAAGTTAGCTTGCTCATACACATTTCAGATACCATCCTACTTTTGGCTGGCTTATTCACACCAAATTTCAAGGGAGAACTAGGAAATCCAGATGCTGGAAGAAAGGCTATTGGTGATGACACCTTCTCCTGAGTTTTTAATGAACAGCTAACCTAATACGCTAGTAGGTGAAAATGTCCCAGGAAATCACTATTCATCAAATGTTATTAAAACAAAGCCACTGACATTGCTGACCCTTCTTTTAGAAACAACAGGAGAAAGCACAGAATACTTAAAGGCTGAGCATAATCTGGTAGGTACATGAACAGGTTAGTTGAAGTAAGTCATACTCCTAAAACACTTCTCAAAAAGGCAGGCACCAGATCTACACCTATTTCTATGCAATGTCTTCTATCGAAAGATGAAACCTTTACTAGAGGGCCTGGTAACAACCCCTTGAGCCTTTTTTAATAAATAATTGTGTGCTGTCTCTAATGTTCACTAAAATCAGAGAAGACTAGCATTTTTAAATTCCCATCCAAAAGATTCAAGTCAGAGGAATACCAAATAATACACTTAATGACATTTCAAGACAGTAACCACATGTTTACAATTGGGTACTGCAGCTGGTTTTATCCTCTTAGAAGTAACATATGAGACCTCTATCAGATTTCTAGGACATGCATAATGGACGAATCCAACAAATTTTGCATGCAAAGGCAGTGATTTAAGAAGCAACAATTGTGAGAAAAATGGCAAGGGTTTAACTTATCCTATTTTGCATGAGCTTTCAGCACTATTCCCTAAAGTTGGCAGAAAAGGTTTGGTTCCAATCTACAGCTACATACCTCTGCTGCCAAAAATTCAAAGTCTGTCTCTTAAGCTGGTTCTATAGAGTTTGACCATTTCTCATATGATCATCCCTTCCCAGAGACCACTGGATGACTGATGTTTTATTTTGTATTGGATTGGACATATAAAAGCATAAAAGAATCCACTGAGAAAGCCATGTCTATTATACACATTTTCTTCTGCTTTTAAAAATGTTTTATTACCTACATACTGCAGAGAATTTCAACTGTCTATATCTAACTAGAAAGGCACACTTTCTACTTCATTTGAAGTTAACTATTGACTATGCAGTCAATATTTGACAAGTGCACGTGTTTCAAATAAGAGCAAGTAAAATCCAAGAAACATAATTCTTCTCAGTCCTCAATTTTTCTTATCTTGGAAACGCAGACTGTGACATAGTGGAAGCCGGCGTGTTCCTACGGCTTGTTTGAAGCTGGGATTCTGCCCAAGATGTATTCAGGTCTGTTCTAGCTAGTTATCTACCTAAGGGTGACAAAAAACCTGCTCAATTTGGCAGTAACTTGGCCAAATGTATGTTCAGTTCAGCGAACATTTGTAACATGTTCCCCCTCCCCCTACATCTTTCTTCCTACCTGCCTTCCCCTGAGAAAATGGAAGAGAGCCAAAGTATCCAGTTAAAGAGCAAGCTGACATAGGGGACAGTCTTTCTCCTGTGTCAAATAATCTCTCTCTTCATGAGTGTCGGCTGAATTTTCATTTACTAAATCCCGTC